TCTGACATTTGTGCGAGTTAGGGCTACAGATGGTCCGTGGGAAGCATTCCCACACTCTCTGGCTCAGGACACAACCCCACTGACTGGACTGGCTCTGTCCTGCCCCCCTGCCTGCACCACACTGCTCTACACAGCCCTTCTCCAAGCCAGATCCTGCCCCCAGGACTCTGGCTCTCCAGAAACAGCAAAGGCCAGAGGATCCAGGGCAGAAATGGGGCAGCCAAGACCTAGCCATACTTCTTTGCTGGCAGCCCAGGAAATTTACACACAACTTTTTGAGTCACCTGCGTTTGAGTGGTCCACTTTATTCATCAATGGAGTGGCTTCCTCGCTTGGGTCTCTATGAAGCAGCTAACTACAAAGGGGTTGAGCTGCTACAGCTTCATACCCCTACTCTTGCCTCCTATTGGATCTTGCCCAGGGGGAGAGGAGCTGACATCCAAAGAGAGGCAGAGGTCTTATTGGGGCTCCATGGGGCAGGGTGGGGTTCCCAGCCAGAGCCCCCACCCTCATGTCCTTAGCACCTACCAGTGGAAAATGGTCTCCCCTAGCCTCTCACCCATATAACCCATACCCCTGCTGATGCTTGGAGCTTGGTAGCTTCCCACATGTTTGGCTGTAGGGTGGTGGATCAGGGTCAGATGCCCATGGACCTGGGATGAGCAATAAGATGAACTCACCCTGGGGAGATGCCTGGGTGTGGGAAGAGGGGCTAGCTCTGCTTCCACAGTGTCAAGCTCTCACTGTAGCTCCAGGAGACCAGGGGTCTCTGGGACTGGCTCTCCTGAGGGTCGTAGTGAGCCAGTGCTTAGAGGGGCAGGCTTTGGTGGGCTGTAGGACACCCAGTGGGCCAAGCAGGTGCTGACCTGGTGATTGCTTCAGATTATGCCAGAAACCACAGATACCTACACATTTGGTTACTTGGTGGCCCTGCACCTGTGGGCACCTCTCCAGGCCACAGAGCAGGCAGAGCAGTCCCAGAAGGGCAGGTCCCACGGGCAGCCCACAGTTAGTCCTATTAAGAAGTCTTTCTGAAGTGTGGTCCATGGCCAAGGACTTGGCAAACCAGAGCCCCTTTCTTTGCTAAACTCTGAGACTCATGAAGCATCTATCTCCCTCCCCTTGATATTTCCGGGGACAATGCTGGGATTATATTCTGGGGAATGGAGATGAGCAAGGGGATGGAATTCCATGTTAAATTCAGAAACTTCTAGGACATGGGTCCAGGAATCTCGCTTTACAAACAGAAAAGCAGGGCATACATAGTGTCATTTAGGGATGTGTTATGTGTGTGTTCACTTTCCCAGGGGAGTCCCTCTCCAGCCTATGTTCTCCAGAGCATGGCCGTGGCCAGCGCAGCAAGCAAGCAAACTCTCCACATTGACAAATGACTGGCCACCAGATGGCAAAGCACCATGGTATCAGTGTGAAGTCCCTTCCTTTGCAGGGTTAATTTACTGATCTGTAAACCTGTGCCTGCATGCTCCAGGAAGTAGGTTGCTCTCCACAGTGTCTGAAAGGCCCTGGGCTTGAAGGATGTATCCACTTTTATTTGTTGTTGTTATGTGCCGTGGAGTAAGAAGGGGAATATTGATGCCAGAATCAGTGAAGTGTGCCTGCTTCCCCTTGTCACTTGGGAGGTGACACCAGTCTCCTGTGACTTGGATGTAGATACCCCTGAAACCAACAGGATGTGAGGCCCCATCTTGCCCCCACTTCTCAGGAGCCCCAAAGTTGGAAACATGGGTTCTATCATTTCTCAAGGATAACAGCTGGCATGCCCCTCGAGGTCCCTCAGCTTTCAGGGACTATCATTGAAGAGCGTCCCCTATTGCTGGCTCTGTCCTCACCTGGTAGGGTCCCTGGCTCCCCCACACCCTCCAGAGGGAGCACTGCTGACACTTTCCTTTTGGACTTGTGACTTATGGCCTCCAGAACTGAGAGAGAATACATTTCTGTTGTTAAAACTAGTTTGTGGAGCTTTGTTACAGCAGCCACAGGACACTCACACACCTCCAGATGAGCTTGTCTGGTATTCTAGAATGTGTGGGTGAGGATGAAGATAGAGACAGTGCCTCCTGGACCCACAGAATCAGCATAGCAGGACCTTGGTGGCCCCAGGAGCCTGCAGGACCCACAGAAAGAGCAAGTGGTCAGCACGCATAAGGTTAACAGCCCAGCAGCTGACACCCCATGCTCCCTACCCCAATAGCCTTCCTCTCTTCCCCCCTTGGGTTCACCTGCTGCAACTCCCCACATGCCACCTGTCCCTGTCCCCTCTCAGCTTTTGAAAATCCTGAGCTCTTGCCAAACAGACTGCTGACTGGTGGCTCAGGGTGTGGGCTGTAGCTGCCACTCCCCAGTGTGGGGGCTCTTTCTCTCTTGTTCTATACTTGTCAAAGGCCACTGACTGCCCCAGTTCTCCCATTCCCTCCAGAAAGGGGAGGCAAGCTTCCAGAGAAGGGCTCCCCTGCCCTCTTGTGGTGGCATCATCACAGGGTGAATTCAAGTCTGAGCACTTTCTCAAGGAAACTGAATTCTCAGAAATGTTACACATAAAACATGAGCCCTGCTGACAGGGCAGGGCAAGAGAGGTCCGAGTGTGCTGGAGTCTCTTAAAACACATGTGCCCCTGAGGGCAGGAGACAAACCCTGTGAAGACACGGGGACCTGAACTTTGGTGAGGTTTTAGGGTCCATTCGTCAAAATGTGTTGAAACATCTGCTCTGAAGTAAAAGACACACTGCTGTAAAAAAGAAAGCAGTCCGGCACCCAGTAAGGCTTTTCAGTTCTGAAGGCACCATGTTCCACTTCTAGAAATACTGTTCCAGCCCATGTCCCAGGTGACACGAATGTGGCGTTTCCAGGCCCCACAGCAGGACATGTCTGTCCATCAGGCACCCTGGAGAATGGCCACATAATCTAGTAGACCCATGGGGTGAGAAGTATCAGGAGTGCAACAGTTTTGTGTGCAGTTGCCATGCTGGCCCTGGAGTTCTGGAATTGCTGCTCAAACACTCCCCACTGTCACTGCTGTTCAGCTGTACAAAAACCAAACCAAAGTCAGTCATTGAGTCGTTTCCAACTCATAGTGACCCCTCCTTGGGTTTCCAAAGCAGTATCTCTACAGAAGTAGATTATCCAGTCTTCTTTCTAAGGAGTGGCTGGTGTTTTTGAACTACCAGCCTTCTGGTTAGCAGTCAAATGCCTTAGGCACTAGGCTACCAGAGCTCCATTATTCCCCCAGCCACCCCCCATCTCTACCTGGAGTTTAGAAGCTTGGATGAATCATTACAAATGATCCCCTGCAGATAAGCAAACATACTTTGTCCCTCCGCTCTCCTACTCCACCAAAAGCCTAGAGCTAGATCCTCCCCACTGCTCAACAGCTTTATCTCATTTCTCCAGCCAGCTCATGCCGCCTCTCCTCCCAAAACCTCTTACCTACACCCCTAGGTAACTTGGCCACCTTCAATCCTACCCCCTCCTTATTCTCTAGATCATGAGACCCCAGAGGGATTCAACTAGTGTCTAAATGCTCAACCGCAAATCAACAAGCCTCCTCCATTTTATCTAGAACTCTCTCCTCTGCTTTGAGGTCCCTTGGTGCATGGTTTGTGCTCCACTACTAAGTGATAGGAAGCTCTGGTGGCATAGTGCCTAAGGTATTTGACCTTAAGGCTTGTGGTTCAAACCCACCAGCCACTCATGGGAAGGCAGATTGGGCAATCTATTCTCAGTAGAGAAATACCACCTCCAAAAACCAAGAAGGGATGGCTATGAGTCCAATCAACTCCACAGCAGTGAGTTTGGTTGGTTTGTTTTACTAAGTGACTCTGGTGGTATAGTGCCTAAGGCATTTAACTACTAACCATAAGGCTGGTGGTTCAAACCTACCAGCCACTCCTCCGAAGGAAGATTGGGTAATCTACTTCCGGAGTGATGCCACCTTGGAAACCCAAGGAGGGGTCGCTATGAGCTGGGGCCGACTTCACTGCAGTGAGTTATGCTGGCCATTCAAACCCACCCAGCAGTGCTAAGGAATAAAGGCATGGAGATTTGTTTCCAGAAGGTCACAGCCTTGAAAATACAGGGAGCAGCTCTACTCTGTAACACATGGAGTTCCATGAGTCAGAATTCACTCCTCTGCAAAAGTAGTCCCCCCCCCCCTTCTTTGAACTCCAGATGAGTAGATCCAACTCATAACATCTTTTTCTTGCAGGATTGGCTTCATGGACCTTCCATGTAGAGGCATTAAAAAAAAAAAAAAAAACTCACTGCCATGGAGTTGGATGCAACTCATAGCGACCCCTCCTTGGGTTTCCCAGGCAGTATCACTACGGAAGTAAACTGCCCACCCTTCCTTCCAAGGAGTAGCATGAGCTGCGCTTATAAGGCCAAGGCTCGGTTTAATGCTCTGCTGTCACAACCTCGATGTTCATAATAATTTTTGGGTAATGGGCCCGCACGTTCTTTTTGCACTGACCACTCTCCCTGTGCCGACTTATCTCCTGGATAATAAACACAAAGAGTGACCAGGGATCTTTCCCTGAACCAAGGATGCACAAGGCAGTCCCAAACGTCATATTGTCATTTCGAAGTAAAGGACACTGACCCCTAGTGCGACGGTCACCGTGCCGCGACGCACTGCTGAGGTGTTCCCAGAAAACCCCAGAACTACTCTTGGGCCTCAAAGAATGGGATGACTGCCCCTCGAAGCCTGAGCCATCTACTCCACCTCCACCCGAACACCACTCCGCCCATCCCCGCCTTCCGGTCCGGATATGCGTTGGACACCAAGTCCCCCAGAATGACGCACGCGAGAGGCGGGTCTTCCGTCGTTACCATGGCTACAGGGACGCTTACCGAAGGGAGGGGCTGGCGCATGCTTCCGGGGGTGGGGCGGGCTTGTAAGGGTTGCCGGCTTGTAAGGGCTTGTAGGGGCTTTCCTCGGGCGGGCGCGCGTTTCCGGGGCGGGGCGCGGCTGCCGGACATGCGTGGCCGCCCCGGGCCATGGCGGCGCTCGGCGTCGTCTGCCTGCTCTTCTGGGCAGCATCCTACCCACACGCCTCGGCCTCTGGCGACGAGTTCTGGCCTGGCCAGTCGGCGGCCGACATCCTGTCGGGGGCGGCGTCTCGCAGACGGTAAATGTGCCTCTCGCGCCGGTTCAACAGTAGGGGCTGGGCCGGGCCGGTGGGCGGGGATCAGGAGAGAGGGTGTAGGGAACCGAAGGAGTGAGAGGGCGGTGGTCAAGATTGTGAGGGACGTAGTAGACGTCCGCGACCTCTGTTTCCCGCGCCGGTCCCGGGACGATCACCTACAGTTGCGAGCGAGGATCTTCCTCTGCCCTCCGGTGAACGCCCTCTCCCGGAGCCCAGCAGGAGGGGTGACCGTCATTTGCTCCGGCTCAGCCTTAAGAGGCTTGACCGGGGGACCCCCGTTGAGACCTTTGACGTGGGTTTTGTAGAAACTTAGAGTCAGATGTTCGAATGGGCTGGTTCATGAGGGACCCCAGCCTTATTTATTTGTAAGGAATCGTTCAATCTCCCTCCAGATATTGGATGTTGTGTTAATAAGTCTTGGAAATAAAAAGAACCCACTATTGCCATTTGGCAGTTAATGATTAAGGGCCTGCTGTGAAACAGCGGCGCGAAGCAGACCCTGTTCCAAGTGCTGGGATGTAGGGATGATAGGTAGGCCCCTTCCTGTAGGTGTTCCAGTCCTGGGAGACTTGAAGGGTAAACCAGGGATTACAACATAGCTGTCATCTGTAATAAGGAAAGTCTGTGGGGTAAAAACACAGAGAAGACAGCAGTAACATTAATAACAACTTTTAATAGAAGTTGAAGGACTCCTGATTGAGTATTTTATAGAGGTTCCTTCAGACCTATTTTTCTAATAAAACTAGTACCAGTTGTCATGGAGTTGATTCGTGGTGCCCCATGTGTGTCTGAACGTAAGGTTTTCGGCTGATTTTTCCAAAGCAGAACATCAGGCTTTTCTTCCAAGTTCATAATAACACTAGGATATTATTTGCGTTTTCACTCTCATTCTCTCAAGAGTGTACTGTGGAGTTTTCTAGATAACTTGTGATATGATAGCAGATTGAGTACAGAAGCAGACATGAGAATCCAGCTTTGGCCAGACCTAAAAGAGATTTGCAAAATGAAAAACACTGCTACTCTTCTGGTTATCTCAAAAAATACAGTTATTTCTCATGACAGTATTATTTATGTCAACATGTGATGCTTTTATTGTTGTTTTTTAAGTGAACAAAATATTTTTAAAAAACTTGTGATGGTTATGTTTGTGTGTCAACTTGGCTAGGCCTGGTTGAGTGCCTGGGCAACTGGATGTAGTATTTCTCATGATGAGACTGGTAATCAACTCCATGGTGGAATCTACTGTGAGCAGCTGAGTAGCTGCCTTTGGGTATATGGTCTGCTTCCTATATTTAAGGAGAAGCCTTGGGAATGGTCTCTAGCCTATGGCACACTTGGACCCTGCATGTAGCCCTGTCGTTGCTCAGCAGCCTGCCATGCTCTGCCGACCCTGGGACTTACAATGGACTTAAGTTAATGGCCTGCCATGTGGTTTGGTAACATCGGGACTGTGCCTTTTTACTTGTCAACCTTGGGGCTTCTCAGCCTCAGCAGCCAGCAGCTAGCTGTCTGAGTGAAGAAATGCCTGTAGCTCCAGTGGACCGGGAGCAAGAGGCAAAACTGGACCCCAAGGTTGAGGGGCTTTCACCCAGCCCCTAGAGCCTGGCACTTTGAACTTGGTCTTAAAGCCTCCAAATTGTAAGAATAAGCTCCTGTTTGTTAAGGCCATCCCATTTGTGGTATATTTCTTGTCAGAGCGGCACTAGGTAACCAGTACAAAACTCCAGTTTTCATTTCTACTACGGGATCTATCAATAGATGTAACCCACATAAACAAAAAGCCTTGTGGGGTCTCAGTAATTAAGAGCATAAAAGAAGTCTTTGGCCCAGAAAGTTTGGTAACCATTAGGGTAGTGATGGTTCTGTCCTTGTAGTCTACTGAGGTTCAGTTGGTCTTAGTTTCTAATTATTGCAAATTGTTAAATGGATGCTCAGATGTCTACTACTGCGACTTATGTGGGAATGGGTGGGCAGCTGTTTCCACTTCAGAAATTAGAAGCTGCCAGAAGCATCTGAAGTACAAGTGACAGGCTGTGAATCGTGAGCATGTCCTGGTTTTTCTACATTAAGACCTCCCCACTGAAGAACTGTCATCCTCCCTCCCCACACAGGTACCTTCTGTATGATGTCAATCCCCCAGAAGGTTTCAACCTCCGAAGGGATGTGTATATCCGCATTGCCTCCCTGCTGAAGACTCTGCTGAAGACTGAGGAGTGGGTCCTCGTCCTGCCCCCGTGGGGCCGCCTCTACCACTGGCAGAGTCCCGACATCCATCAAGTCCGAATCCCATGGTCTGAGTTTTTTGATCTTCCAAGTCTCAATAAAAACATCCCTGTCATCGAGTATGAACAGTTCATTGCAGGTAAGGGTCATGGTGAAGCTTGGGGCCAGCAATCATTCTGTGCTGGGGTGGACATCAGGCCAGGTATGCATCCCTGACTGTCCAAGTTGAGCTTCATTGGTGCCCATCCCGTGGCCACACTCTCCCCTCAGGCATACTGCAGTGCCTGCTTTGCTTAGGTGCTGCTTCTATTCCTTCCCCTGACAGATCTCTGCATAACGATTCTAGGGAAATAGATCTGAAGTTTGAGCTATATGCCTTATCTCTGAAACACACGGCAGCCAGATAAGTAGCAATTATAACTATGACAAAGTGATAAAAATGCATCAGCTACCTGGTGGGCCTTTTTCGGACAGCACCTGGCTCCCCAGGCAGAAAGGCAGGTTTTCCCGAAGGAACATTCCTAACATAGGATATGTTGTTGTAGTTGACTGTATGATATCTTCCTATGGTGCTGGTGAAGACATTTGTAAAGATACATATTATTTAATTTAATCCTATTTAATCTTTCCATTTTGATTTTTTTTAAAGGAGAGGAGTTGAAGATTTCCTCAGAATAAAGATATTTGGAGTTTACTATTGCTTTATTTGGAAGACATTTAAAAAAAAAAAAAAAAAAAAGCTGTACCTATCCCAGCAACAGTTTATGAGCTATATACCCTCATCTCTAAAACATGTGGCAGCTTGGAAAGTAGGTAGTCCCTGGGTAATGCAAAAGGTTAAGCACTTGCCTGCTAACTGAAAGGTTGGAGGTTCAAATCCATCTAGATATGCCACGGAAGAAGGGCCTGGCAGTCTGCTTCTAAAAAATCAGCCATTGAAAACCCTATGGAGCATAAGCATACTCTGACACAGGTGGGGCAACCAATGAAAAGAATGAGTCAAAGTTTCTAAGTAAGCTGCTACTTTGATATTTATTGAGTTCTATAGTGCAGCAACTTGAAGAGCTTAGCAAGCTTTGCTTCTATTGAGGAGATGCCTTGTACGTCTTCATTTTTCCTTTCTCTTTGCCCCTTAGATCTTGTCACTTTGAAATTGTTTTATTTATCAGAGTACATCAGGTGACCTCTGTAAGGACTGATTGAAGGGGCATCATTCATAGTGAGGAAACAGAACCTGGAGCATGTATAGCATGCTCTTGTATGTAGACTTACCTTCTAATTGCACTTGCAAGCACTTGAAAATGAGTGTTTGAGCTGGGTGGTAATCTCAGGGAAGATCCCCTGAGAAGGTGTGACCCAAATGGTATCATAGGAAGGAGGAGGTGTCACAGGGAGGTAACAGCAAGTCCTGGCCAGGGCCTGACGAGGGAGCGCTCTGTGTGCCCCACAGTGAACATGAAGCTACAGAGGAGGGTGAAGACAGTCTGCAGGGCCTGTGGAGAGCCTGAGTTCTGGGCTGTGCCAGCAATACCAGAGAGAACGGGACTGGGGACAGGCTCAGGGAGAGAAGGAGTCCATGAGAGCAGGCAGGGTATTTGGGAGCAGCTCAAGGAGGAGGCTGGAGAATTCAACCAGCTCTGCTCCCCATGGATCCCCACCGACCCTCTTTGGGGACCCTGTGCTATAGTAGCATTTACTCTGTCCTTTTTATGCAATTGTTTGGAGTAAGGTGGGGTAAAGTGAATTACTGAAAGTTACATTTATACCAGTGCCAGTCTGCAACATGCCATAAATATATGGTTTGACTCCACTTGCACTGTCGAGCATTTCCTGGTCTCTGTTTCAGAGTCTGGTGGGCCCTTCATTGACCAAGTCTACGTCCTGCAAAGTTATGCAGAGGGATGGAAAGAAGGGACCTGGGAGGAGAAGATTGATGAACGTCCCTGCCTTGACCAACTTCTGTATTCCCAGGACAAGCACGAGTACTACAGGTAACATAGCAGTAGCAGGACAGGTGTGCTGAGTTCCTCAGTGGCCCAAAGCCACTTCCTGCAAGTTTGCAAGTGTCTACTAACATTACACATTGGCTTCATGACATAGCATTCTAGGGTCTCATGTCCTTGGCATCTTCACGAGCGCTGCTGACCACCCTGTAAGAGTGTACTGTGGGGCTGCCAGCCGGCCAGCCCTGCTCTCAATTCTCAGCATGAACCTTCTTTCACCTTCACAACCTATAGATAGGAGTTTGAGGCTGCTTTAAAAATACCTGATTGAGAGCAGTCTGCTTTTTCCCATCTTTTTAAATGCATTTGAATATAGCAGAAATGTGGCCTTGTCAGCCCAAACACCAGTGGCCACCTAAGCTCCACTGTCACAGGATCCCCAGGGCCAGGCTGCCCCTCAGCAACATCCGTGCAGGAAGTTCCAAATGGTTGGCTTTGAAATCTGAATATAGTAGATGAATTCTGTAGAAGAGTCTGTTGTCTGGCAGAGATACTATTGGAGCTGTGTGGCCCTTCAGGTGGGACATGTCATTCCCATCAGGTTCCTTTTGGACTTTTTTCTGCTGTCCCTTCTCAGTTTCTCCCTGGATTAGTGAGAAAAAACTCAGCCTCTCATCACTTCAGATTGAATTTTATGGTTTTCTTTTAAAATTTTCACAAGAGCGTCGCTACTTCTAACAATCACCAATAAGGTTTCCTTAAGAGAAGCAGTTACGTTTTCTTAGGGTCGAGTCATGTGTATGTGTGTAAATCCAGATTCTTCTTAATGCTATGTGAAAACAAACTAAACTGACAGGGAGCATGTGGGCTTCTGTTTTCCAGAGGATGGTTTTGGGGCTATGAAGAGACAAGGGGTTTGAACGTTTCTTGTCTGTCCGTCCAAGGATCGGCATCCATCATTGCACCAGTTCTTTTAAAGAACACATCAGCACGGTAAGCCGCCCACTACATCTCTGCTTGGCCAGCCGGCACATCAGCATCCTGCCCTCTGCCACCAGTGCCTAGTCACCTCCCTGCTGCCCATGGGAGTGGGCTTCCCAGAAAGTTGGACAATTGTGTGATGCATGCTCTTGCCACAGTGAACAGGAGTTCCTCCCCAGAAGACAACTGGGTTTGAGAAGAAGCTGCCCTCATCATTGGAGGAAAGCCCAGGGAGTCCATTAGCATGAGGCCACTAAGGTCCCTAGTGCTCTGGGTGCTGCAGACCCACCCACTGCTCACAGGACATCTCAGGATGGGACACTGTTCTTCTGAAGTTGTGTTTTATAATTCAACAAGAGCCACCACCACCACCATGGATTTGATTTACTTTCCTATTCCTTTGATCGAGTGATTTGAGGGCACCAGCTGGGGTGATGAGATACCAGGGAGCAATATAAGCTGGAGCCCCTAGGGGTCAGGCAGGGGCAGCACCTCTGGGAATTAAGTCTTCAGTTGCTCCCACAAACCACAAGGTGGCAGGTGACCTTATAGAGACCCATCATCCACCTACAGGTGTCATCGGGAGTAGAGGGTGGGTGTGTGTGGCCAGCTCCTTCAGAAGTAGGGCTAGTGGCTGCATTCTGAGGAGAATTGCTGCGGTGGGACCCTGAGGTGGCACACCTTTTCTGTTGTCTACCCTTAGCCTCCCTGCAGCCTCAGCACTAGAGTTATCAGTCTCTGAAGCAGATGATGACAGACCAGGACCATGGTTCCCAGAGAGCTATGAGAGACTCTTTGAGGGTCTTGGAATAGGGCAAGTGAGGCCCAGTACTCTGAGGGCTCATTGCAGCTCCACAGCCAGCAAGGACCTCACTTAGGTGTGCAGACCAACTCTGAATGAAGGAAGATAATGTTTCTACCAGCATCACAGTGGCTGCTGCCAGCATCATTGCTGTTGCCACCAATTCAGGTGTCCCAGAACATTGGTTTAGATCCCCTGGCTTCCTTCCAGCACCCTTGCCATGTTAAGAGTGATGGTCGGGGTGTTGGGTCTTTGTGCTGAGGGAAGCTGGACTGAAAGTTTAGGTATTGGGATCCAGCATTAATGCTATCATGGAGCAGTTCTTTCCATCAACATAACTTGGGCTTCAGAAGCAGACCTGGCTAGAGTTGTTGGCCTTTGGCCACATAATGATAGCAGTTAGCTTTCCTGACTTGAACGTTGGGCATTTAGAACCAAGCTGGGCATTTGCTGACCCTTAACCCCCTTTCTGCCAACTAGTGGGGTCTCTGGGGCATCCCCTCTAGGTAGTTGATTAATTAGAATGAGAAATAAGATGTTTGAGGTGGACATCTTGCTCCCCACACCAAGTGATGTGTTGGGTATTTGGGCAGTGGTGTGTGGACTGCTGACTGGCAGGGGAAGACTGTTGGCATTCTCAGGAGTGATACTGGCACCATGCATCTTCTCCCATTGTGAGGAAGGATTTTTGTCCTGATCCACACATTAAAAGCTACCCATGTGTGTGTCACTTTCTAAGTCATAGTGTCCAAAGACACTGCTGGCTTAGTTTCTGAATAGCTGCTGGATGGTGATGAGGCAGCCAGGAAGGTTAGGGTACTCTTTGTGCATGTTGCCCCCTCACTGGGGAAACCCAGGCTACCCTGACAGGCTCATGGTCACATCCATCCGGTCAGAGCCATGACAACAAACCAGCCAGACAGTAGTCTAACCCAGCCCCCTCCCAACCCTCTGTTCTGTCGGGCTCCCACCCTGCTGTCCACATCTCTTCCTGTGTACTTAAGCCAGCCAGCCTTGCCATAGTGCTTGGTTGGTTGGTCTACTTATTTGTTGATCATGTCCTATCTGGTATTCATAATGGCCCTTTTTCTCAGCCTTTTGACACACATTCCTTTGCCTAGTGTTGCTTCTGGACATGGAAGTTATGGAGCACAGGGACCTGTGTCACCCCTGCAGAGTATCAGCCCTTAGATGGAGCCCTTGTTGCCTGTATACACAACTGATCTGTGGGACACGTTACACGTATCAGGGTGATGTCCCAGTCCCTCACCCCAAGGAAGAGGATCTGATGGGTGTGGCAAACACAGACCTTGGGCCTCTCCCAGGAGCATTGGGCCCATCTCCTCCAGCCCTCCCTATTAGACTGGGGTACATTCCACCCACTCACCACCCTGCCACATGCAGACTTTGTGTTGTCATCTTTGTCTGTGTTTCTGAGTGCCTCTTGAATGATTTCAACTGTTGGGCACATGAATCTGGCAGTCACAACATTTGGAGCCATAGAAAAGGTACCGCCAAAAGGTGGTTTTTTGGAATCTACCAGCAACTCCATGGGAGAAAGATGAGGCAATCTGCTTTGGTAAAGATTTACAGCTCTAGAAACCTGTGGAGTAGTTCTACTCTACCCTATAGGTTCGCTGTGAGTCGGAATCAACTCAGTGGCAGGGGGTTTGGCCTTAATCCTTAACGGGGAAACCTAATGTAGTAACTGTCGACACTTCAGTTAGTCTACGACCAGGCCCCACCCCAGCCCCTGTTCACTCATAAAAATCCAGCTGCTGTGGAGCTGACTCATAACTTAGAGTGACCCCTGTGTGTCAGAGCATAGCTGTTCTCCACAGGGTTTTCATCGGCTAGTTTTTCAGAAATAATCGACAGGACTTTCTTCTAATATATCTCTGGGTGGACTTGAACCGCCAACTTTCAGTTAGCAGCAAACTGTGTTAGTAGTTTGTACCACCCAGGATTCACTTACCAAAACAAGCCAAATTCACTGCCGTCAAGTCGGATCCAACTCATAGCTGCTACTCCTTGGATTTCCAAGGTGATACCACTAAAAAGCCAGGAACCCGGACAGAAGAGCAGTCAGCCCCAGGGTTACAGGTGAGGAGAGACAACTCAGG